GCTACCAGAGCTCCCAAGTATTTCAGCATATGTCTTCTAAGCTTTGTTAGTTGTGATGGAGTAGGCTCTGACTCATGGGGCCTTTATGTATAACGGAAGGAAAACTTGTTCAGTCCTGTGTCATCTTCTCAGTCACTGGTGGGTTTGAGTCCATTGCTGTAGCTGTCATGTCAGTCCATCTCATTGAAGGATTCCCTGGTTTTCCCTGACTCTGTACTTTACCAACCATGATGTCCTTTTCTAACAATTGATCTTTCCTGATGGTGTGTCCAAAGTCAAAGCAAGCTGAGGTCTTGCCATCCTCGCTTCTAAGGGGCATTCTAGTTCTATGTCTTCTAAGATTGATTTGTTTCTTGTTCTGACAGTCCACGGTGTATTCAATATTTTTCACCAATATCACAGTTTGAATGTGTTAATTCTTGTTTTGTCTTCCTTTTTCTAAGACTAAAAAACCAAACTCACTGCTGTCAAGTCGAATCCAACTCATAACAACCCCTCCTTTTATTTCCAAGGTGGTATCTCTACAGAAGTAGATTGCCCAGTCTTCCTTCTGAGGAGTGGTTGGTGGGTTTGAACCTCCAGCCTTCTGGTTAGCAGTCAGATGCCCTACGCACTACACCACCAGAGCTCCCTTCTAAGACTAAGGACTTTTTTTTTATTTTAAATTTACATAATATCAAACCATAATGACACAAAAGTAACAATTACTTAATATCATCCAAAGTCCAGTCCATATTCAGATTTCAGTCCAGAATTCCAACAAGGTGTATGCAATTGCATTTGGCTATTTTGCCTCTTTAGTCTTTTTTTTTTTTTTTTACAGTTCTCTGCCTTTTCTTTCTTTCTTTTTTTTAAAATTTTGATGACATAGATTTTTTTTGTTTGTTAATTTGAAGAAGGCAGGCCAGTTTTCTCACATTCTGGATTTGTCTGATTGCTTCTGCATGATTTGATTTGGTTTAAATTGTTTTTGGCAATATTACAATGTAAGTGGTATAATATGACATCACCCTGTCTGACCTTGTTGGTGATAAACTCTATCACTTGGATGAGGTGGCGAGACCAGAGCACTCCATTTTAAAGGAACATTTTTCACTGTTACATAATCTGTGGAGTGATACTTTGAGACTGAGTGAATTTTCTGTTTTCTAGTAACCATTTACTGAAGAGTTTTAGTATCTATTGATAATTATTGCCTCTACTAATGATTATATTAGGAGCTCTGGTAGCGTAGTGCCTAAGGCACTTGATTGCTAACCAGAAGGCTGGCGGTTCAAACCCATCAGCCACTCCTCGGAAGGA